TACTTTCTAAAGAACTGCACACGAAAAATCGATTTTAAGCATTTGTAAAATGTGTTTTATGTGCAGTTTGTACAGCATGCATTTGTGAACAGCATGACACACACACACACACATGGCTTTATACGTGCAGATTGTGCAGCACGCATTTGTGATCCTCATGACACACACACACAAATTGCTTGTTACAGACAAAACATTAAACACGCATTTGTAACATTTTTGATGGTATTCTATCTCCATAACAGTCCACTCACTGAAGTCCCTGTTTTTGGTCGTAGTTCTTCTGAGATCTCCTTTTCAGAGGCATGGCTCACATCAGCTGATGTTGTTTGTGAATAGCACACTGAGGCTTGTTTGACTGTTTTTATAAGTCAAAGTAGCTCTAAACTACACCTCTGTTCTCATTTCATTGATGGACTCCGGATTTGATATCACCTGACTCCAGTTGGCATTTAGTGATATCAGAAGTCTGCTGTTGTCATTACTTTTTCCACTATCACTTTTTTGTATGTTTAAAGTGTGTGTTCAATAAAGATGTAAAAGATCATGACTGCCTGTGTTTTATCAGCATGGAAATGTTGTGTTTTTTTGATATTTATGACTTTAGTGAAGATCAGATCACATTTTATGACCAGTTTGTGCAGAAAACCAGGAGATTGCAAACAGTTTAGGGGTTTAAGGGTAGAGGCAGCAGAATGAACATATATGATATCTCCCATAATCCAAGTGGACAGTGTGGTGGATTTACAGTGCTTTTTGTCTTCAAAGGACAAACAAGCTCAAGCTTGAATTTTTAGTTTTTGTTCAATATGTTCATCATGAGGCCTGTAGGGCAATCCATTATCTGGCCAAATTCCTAAGTATTTATAATCCGTCCCAGGATCTTCAGAATTGTCCAAGGAAATGGCTTTGCTATTATTATTATGGTATTAGGAGTAGTAGAAGTAGTAGTAGTATTATGGTGGTAGTTGTAGTGTTAAAAATTACAATAAATACTTGTTTTAAACATGAAGCTTTTTGTGTCTGTGCTTATCTGAAGAGTAACTCTGCCACACAGGGAGCTGTTCTTTAACCTCACTGATGGTTGCTGCAGGCAGGCACCGTCACTGTGCTTTCAGTGTGAACGCCAATTATTTAACAAAGCTTAACATTTATTATTTAAATTTAACGATGTCTCTAATCCTGATGATTAGAGAAAACATCCTTTTTTTTAACTGTATAGTATCTGGTTTAAATACTTGTTTTTGCATTCTTGAACTCACGCTTCCATTTCAGTGAGAAGCTATAGTAACTAATATGAGAGTTTACTGCAGAGTAGCTGTATCTGCTCCCAGCATGCTGTCCTGGCTGCGCAAAAGGATTTCACTACCTTCCACTACATGTTTAAATTGATTTCAGTTCAACTTCACTTGGTGTTGACCTTTTCAGTTCTTGTTTTGTGTTTATAACCCCCACCCCATCTTTTGTGTGTCTGTGTAGCCCTTCTCCAATGGTGTGCAAGGCAGTGATGAGTATGACATCCTTCCCTCACGGCACTCGCCAACTCAGTACAAACTTGCCAGTAGCCACAAGTAAGTATTACACACACACAAAAACACGCACAATGGGAACATTTTCTCTGTATAGCCATTTTGTATTAATCTGGGCAGCTACGGTTGCGGAGTGTAGAAACATCACAATGCTGCATCAAATCACACTGTAATAGTGTAGTCAAAATGGAAGTTTGTGTAAATCTTAAAAAGATGTGTCACAGCTGAACAATAGCCTTTTAATCAGTGGCATGACCCATTTTTTGAGACTCGGTTGCATTTTGTTTCCTGTATCAGACTGGGCAGGGTTATTGCAGAACAGTGCAGATCAAAATGGGACTCGAACAAACTAGCTGTATGGTCTATAGCCCTGAAGCAGACAGTGCAGAACAGCAGGAAACAGAGTAACAACACTGGACCGATATTTGAGCTTATTTACAGTATAGCTAAAATCTGCTTCATTGCATAATAATGCTGCTCTTGTTATATGCAAACATTAAACTAGTGAGAGTTTAATATTTGAGTGACACATTCCCTTTTAGTCTAAAGATCTGTCTCTTGAACTTCCTCTTTTTCTTTCTCTGTGGTTTCAGACTCAGCGAGCTCTAATAGCCTCAGGGAAAAGTTATGGTTTGAAACAGCTTTGAAAAATCATGGCTGAACATCTAATAGCCTTTTAGCTGCAGCCAGAATTCGATTAGGTACAGTATGTCTGTAGTGGAGGCAGGGGATAGAGCTGTCACTTCTAATGAAGCTTCAGCCGAAAGGGGAAGCTCAGGTTCTACTGAAAACAGTTTGGTGTTGTAAAATACTGTGCAGCTGTTGGTGGTGTATGCACACATCACTTACAGTGCCTTGCGAAAGTATTCGGCCCCCTTGAACTTTGCGACCTTTTGCCACATTTCAGGCTTCAAACATAAAGATATAAAACTGTAATTTTTTGTGAAGAATCAACAACAAGTGGGACACAATCATGAAGTGGAACGAAATTTATTGGATATGTCAAACTTTTTTAACAAATAAAAAACTGAAAAATTGGGCGTGCAAAATTATTCAACCCCCTTAAGTTAATACGTTGTAGCGCCACCTTTTGCTGCGATTACAGCTGTAAATCGCTTGGGGTATGTCTCTATCAGTTTTGCACATCGAGAGACTGAAATTTTTGCCCATGCCTCCTTGCAAAACAGCTCGAGCTCAGTGAGGTTGGATGGAGAGCATTTGTGAACAGCAGTTTTCAGTTCTTTCCACAGATTCTCGATTGGATTCAGGTCTGGACTTTGACTTGGCCATTCTAACACCTGGATATGTTTATTTGTGAACCATTCCATTGTAGATTTTGCTTTATGTTTTGGATCATTGTCTTGTTGGAAGACAAATCTCCGTCCCAGTCTCAGGTCTTTTGCAGACTCCATCAGGTTTCCTTCCAGAATGGTCCTGTATTTGGCTCCATCCATCTTCCCATCAATTTGAACCATCTTCCCTGTCCCTGCTGAAGAAAAGCAGCCCCAAACCATGATGCTGCCACCACCATGTTTGACAGTGGGGATGGTGTGTTCAGGGTGATGAGCTGTGTTGCTTTTACGCCAAACATAACGTTTTGCATTGTTGCCAAAAAGTTCGATTTTGGTTTCATCTGACCAGAGCACCTTCTTCCACATGTTTGGTGTGTCTCCCAGGTGGCTTGTGGCAAACTTTAAACAACACTTTTTATGGATATCTTTAAGAAATGGCTTTCTTCTTGCCACTCTTCCATAAAGGCCAGATTTGTGCAGTATACGACTGATTGTTGTCCTATGGACAGAGTCTCCCACCTCAGCTGTAGATCTCTGCAGTTCATCCAGAGTGATCATGGGCCTCTTGGCTGCATCTCTGATCAGTCTTCTCCTTGTATGAGCTGAAAGTTTAGAGGGACGGCCAGGTCTTGGTAGATTTGCAGTGGTCTGATACTCCTTCCATTTCAATATTATCACTTGCACAGTGCTCCTTGGGATGTTTAAAGCTTGGAAAATCTTTTTGTATCCAAATCCAGCTTTAAACTTCTCCACAACAGTATCTCGGACCTGCCTGGTGTGTTCCTTGTTCTTCATGATGCTCTCTGCGCTTTAAACGGACCTCTGAGACTATCACAGTGCAGGTGCATTTATACGGAGACTTGATTACACACAGGTGGATTCTATTTATCATCATTAGTCATTTAGGTCAACATTGGATCATTCAGAGATCCTCACTGAACTTCTGGAGAGAGTTTGCTGCACTGAAAGTAAAGGGGCTGAATAATTTTGCACGCCCAATTATTCAGTTTTTTATTTGTTAAAAAAGTTTGAAATATCCAATAAATTTCATTCCACTTCATGATTGTGTCCCACTTGTTGTTGATTCTTCACAAAAAATTACAGTTTTATATCTTTATGTTTGAAGCCTGAAATGTGGCAAAAGGTCGCAAAGTTCAAGGGGGCCGAATACTTTCGCAAGGCACTGTATATAAATAACTGCAGCTGACTTATATTCCCCAAGTATAGGTTGCATTTATAGGATCACTTATTCACATACATAGTTTTAGTACTATATGCTCTATATCAGAGGTGCCCACACTTTTTCACCTTGTGAGCTACTTTTCAAATGACCAAATGAAGTCTTAATGATCTACCTAAAGTTAAAATACTAAACATATATTTATTTATACCTTATGTAAACACAATATATGTTGGTGCACCTTGCATAACTGCATGAACCTTAAGGCACACTACAGTTCAGTACTTTTTTGGTCATTAGTTTACTCTGATGACTTGCACTAAATGGAATCAGCCAGGGCTGCATAGTCCAGACGGTAGCTGCTGGTAGCCAGCCTAAAGCAGATTGGAGCAATATTTGGACTTAATAATCTCTGTGTGAGAAAATGCTGACTCACACAAATAAGTAGAGCAACATAATGCAGTCAATGGCACATTTCCTCATGTTTGGGTACTTTTCCTCTGTAAGTTCCAAAACGGTCCATTAGCCCTGGGCTTCAGCTGAATGGCAGCCTTTAGTGTCAATATCTCATCCTCCACTCCAGACCAGTTCAGGTGCAACAGCATTGCAATTTTTGATGCGAGTGAATCAACCTGGGTAGCACATAAATGTAGCGACTGGCTCGAGTGAGGCAAAGTCTTGAAAGCATTTGTCAAACTCTGACCGACAATTGTCAATCTGCTTTGTGTAGTGGACAAAGTTGCGCACATGCTTTCCGTTGCATCTCCAGCTCCCACAAGCAACTAAAACTTGTCTGTGAAGCAGTAATCCACGTCATGTCTATGCTTTGTTCTGCTCTGATATGGTTTGTAACATGCAACGTAAATGTAGTCAGTGTAAATATCATGTTTTTAGATGGTGAAAGGCTTTTCAAATGTAAAATGGCCTGTCCTTCCCGCCCCAGGACTACCATCCTCTTCATAGTGGGACTGTGACAGTATCAGTGATGGTAGTTTGAATGTTATAACTGTACAAGTCACACTAATCAAAATGATGAATTGACAGACCATGGTCATATTTACAGACCCTCCAACCCTTTCAGCAGCCCTGTGATAGAACGACAGTGGGAAGCGATGGAGAGGATGGAGGATCAGATCCCTTCATCCAGCCTCTGCCTGAGCCAGTCTCCCATCTGCATCCCTGTTCCCAGCAGGTACAGACCTTTTCCCAGTGTATTAAAGTTACTATGGTGACACAGCAATGATGGTTTTATTAGAGTATGCTTAGGCTGCTGTGAACAAAACACGTGCTCTCTCCTTCAGGCACCTGGAGAATGGCTCTCCAGAGCCCTCTATCGAGGAGATGAAGCCATGGCCCCCTGAACCTGGTAAGTCCTGAAACCTGCACTAATCCGAAATATATTATCTTTATCCAGATTGGCAATGACATCACATATGCATCAGATATAGTGAGTACTGCTGTGAACAGGTGAATATAATCACCACACATTGTCTGTAGAATCTGGATGATACACCTGGACACCTTTAATCTACCATTTAATATCATTTTATAGTACTGAGTCTTAAAATGAGCAAGGTGCTATAGGTCATTTCATTTCTCCATATAGAGCAGCTTGTTTTTCACTTTGTTGAGACAATGATCTTGAAGCCAGTAGTGATGTGATTTATAGTGCCTCATTTAACAAAATCTTTGAATCAGGTTTAAGGGCATACTGTAGCTACCAAGTAGACCTGTCTAATGCCACTGGCATTACTGGTCATTGAAAAACAAGGATATTTGAAAAGTGAATATGCTGTGGCAGTGGCTGTTTTAAACTTCACTCTGTTTTGCAGTATGTTGAGCTCTACTTGTCTTCTTCAGGTGGACACCAAGAATCGGGCAGGGGCTTTGTCCCAGGGGCAGCACATCCTGCGCTCTGCGCCTTCAACACCAATAAGACACCCTCTGACTATGACATTCTGCTGCCCCCTCAAGGTAGTCTATCTAAACCTGAACCCCCCCCCCCCCCCCCCCCCCACCTATTTTTTTTTTGTTTTACAAATGGTTGTAAATGGAGACTGCATGGTCAGCTGCTTGATTTTACACACCTGTGGCAATAGGTCTGATTGAAACACCTGAATTCAAAAATTAAGAGGTGTATCCCGATACCTTTGTCCATATATTGTACATTTACACTTATACATTGTTGTACATGTAAGTAAGTATTTAAAACAATGATCTGTTGTCCATATTGACCCGCAACAAATCAGCCTTCAGTCCCTTCTAAAAACTCTTTCTCTTGGTTTTTCTCTGAAGGCATGTAATCTCTTCTCCTCGTGGAATGAGTATAAACTGTCATGGCAGAGCAGAGAGCTCATTCTTTTCTGTGTCTTCTGTTGTGTTTTAGCATTAGAAGACCCCTTCAACAGCCATCCTCTATCCCAGTCTCCTCCTGGCCCCCCTCCTCCTCCACCGGCACGACACAGCTTCACTGATCTGTCCAGCTCCTCACCGTCCTCATCCTGCAACTCCTCCACATGCTCTTCTGTCAGCGCACGACCACACAGGCCCACCTCTGGACATGAGCACTTACTGTTAAATCCTGGTGAGCTGGCAAACGCACAGTATTTCTTTCCAAAGGAAAATGTGTTTAGAGCATTACTTGACTGCTGACTGACAGATAGTGACAGGCTTGTTTAATTGACTTTGGGTCATTTGTGGTCAGGACGTAGTGTTTGACATGCTGAACAGTGCTGCTTCTTTGCCTCCAGTCAGACAAAACACAGAAAATGTTAAAGACTTCAGAGGCTGCCTGGAGTATGACAATTTACCAGTCAGTCAAGGTAGAGTTACACCTCTTTCTCAGCAAGTGACTGCATGAGGAAATGGACACATAGTGTTGGCTTGTACAAAAAAACAACAACAAAAAAAAAAAAGTTCAGTTCTTCTTCTGCTTATTCTCTATGTTTTAGAACTCAATCAGTCACCATTTATGACTGGACAAATTGCCAAATAAGATTTTACATATACTCTAGGAATTAAAGTCTGGGTAATGTATGAGCCTTTGAAATAGAAATTGTGCAGGATCCCTTTATTCAACAAAACAAGAAAGGATCTGTGGTAGAAGTGACCTCTTTGCTGAAAGCTTCATGTCTGCTCTCATGAGCTTGGAGAGTAATTAACATGAACATCCTGAACAGCTCTTTCAGTACAGACCATAGAAATTGCTTTGTGCAGACATGCAAAGTTTGTCCCTTGAAGCTGGCAGAGTGCATTTCACCATTTTGGTGTGGAGCAGGACATCAGATGAACATGCAGTGAATACCTCAATATTTGATGTCTGGCTATGAAAGACATCAATACTTAGTGATAAAGAAGATGAATCTGAAGGTATTGGGAAATGTAAAAGCTTACAATCTGTGACAAGCAGCAGTTGGTCTAACTTCTTTTTGACCACTAATAACATGTTCAAGTTTCTGCCTGTGCACCAGGGGCATTTTTCCACTGATATGATTTCTCTCCTTCTCTCCCTCCAAGCATCGCTGGACTGTTTGCAGGCCCCTGCCAGGCCGCCCAAGCCACTGCCCAGGAAGATCCCCCCAGACATTCATCCAGGCAAGCCCCACAGCCTGGAGTCAGAAAACATGGACGCCAAGATTGCCAAGCTGATGGGGGAGGGATACTCCTTTGAGGATGTGAAGCGTGCACTGATGATTGCCCAGTACAAAGTGGACGTGGCCCGAAACATTCTGCGAGAGTTTGCCTTAGTGGCCCCAAGACTGAATCTCTAGTCCTACAGACTGTGAAAGGGAGCACAATTTTGAAGCTGTGCCTCTGAATGGACTGTTTAAAAAGGGCTTCTTCATTCTGCTTGGCCTTGGACTGTTGGACAAAAGAATGATCAACAAAAACAAATATTTCAAGGGAGACTTGCTTTTCGCTGCCGAACAGACATGGCAACACACAACAAAGTGGCTTAAACCAAACACAGAAAATCAAAAAAGAAAACAAGAGCATGTCTGAATGACTTAAACCTGTGAAAAAACAAAACCAGGCTTATTGTTTACAGTGAGTCCTGCTGGTGCTGGTCTCTGCATGTTAAATGCTCCTGTTTGTCTTGGGGCTTGGACTGAGTGCCCCTTTTAAAGCCCTGATCCTGCTACTGATGCTACTGTTCCTTCACATCCTGCCACCCTCCAGACTTGATATTGAAGGACCTTTCAAAAGAGCAAGACCTTTCCAGCTCAATTTTTCTTACATGCTCAGCTAGTTGTTAGGGGTCATTTTTATTTACAACCAGTGGGTGGAGCCAAACTCCGCTGCTTCTCTTCTCTAACCCTCTCACTCTCCTCTTCAGTATCTTGTGCTTCACCTACTTCCTCCTCTCCTCTTCCTAGTGTGTTGTAGAGAATACACCAGTGTTTGTCCTGAGGCTGGCTGACTTGTAGGTCTTAACAAGATCTGGAGAGTTGGGAGTACTTATTGACTTGTTTGCCCCAGACTTGGAGAAAACTGTAAGACAGCTCCAGAGAAATGCTCTTATTAGACATGGCATCTCATTTGGACAAAGAAAGTGAAGCAGGGACAGGGCAGAAGGGTTAGTATTGCTCTGTTTCTGTTCCTACACCAGAGGATTAATCAGTTTGAGCCTTTTTAAGTGCTTTCTTCATCTGAGGACAGCTAGCCTATGAATGTATTTGTTCTGCATGAGTGAGCTATACCTTTGTACACTCAGCGCCTCTCAGGCCCAGTTTTGCCCTTGTGTGATTAAGAGGTGTTTAATGTTTGTGGAAATTTTTATTTTCAAGATTAAAAGCCAGACAATTGTGCCTACATATAAACTCAAGCATTTAAATGATGGGAGTGAGCCTGTTGTGGAGGCCAAAGAGCCAGAAAGACGACGCGCTCTGCAGCACTCACACCGCAGCCAATTACACACCCATCATATGGTGAAAATGTCTGTTCTTCACATGTTTGAGGAATCCATCTCAGTCTGATTTGGAGCCAGAGTCACTTGGTAGCTCTGCAGTAATTATGCTACTTAAGCATTTTTACTGATATGAAGTTGTGTGAACATGACTAGGACACAGTATACCACAGAGCACTCAGACTTTGAGATTGGACATATGCACATTAACTGTGTGGTACAGGTGAAACCCCCCCTTCCAAGGATTTGAAATCAACTGTGTTGCCCCCAGTGATTGCAAGCCATCTCAACTATGCATAGATTAGGTGTGTTCCCAGTTCATTACTCCTTATGGGGGATGTTGGCAGGTCTATGTTGTCCTGTTGGCATAAGACGGGGCTATGTTTACAAGGACACTAAAACTCTCATTATTTTCATACAGTGTATTTTAAATGTATAATTTACAACTGAATTGATTTGGCCATTGTGATAACCTTGTACTCATCAGGAAGTGGGAAGACAGTCGTCACCGACAGGCCAAGCAACGCGAGCAGTTGGATCATCAGAACATTAGAGGACTTCAGTTCTATACAAGTCTGTCTAACATGGGGGTTTATTTAAATTTTGTCTTGTCATAAATACTTGTGTTTTTGTCCTGTCTGAACTTTTTTAAACTGTTAATCTGACTGACAGAAATGATAGGAAATGGAAATGAGACCAAAGTGGTAAAAAAAGAAAACTTGGCTACGAGTTAAAGTCTGGTATTATACGTGTTGTATTATACCTGCTATATGAAGAAAATGAGATGTGATGACCTCTGATAATATAATTCCATAACAGGCACCAAAAATCGCCCTCTCCAACTGGTTACAACTAAATAATGCACGCAAAGAAGCTTTTACTATCAGAATTTCTTGTCTGGGAAACATTGGACTGGCAGAGGCAGAAAGCTTTCCTCCCTGACAGTGCAGTGTGATATGTCAATATATTGTGCTTTTAACTACTGTACAGTAAATATCAGGACTGTAGTAGCTGTTATTGTGACCGATACAAAAAACTGAGCTAGGCCCCCTGACCGTGCAGCATATGGGTCTGTGTGTTTTTTGTTTCTGAACAAAGAAACAGAAGAAGGCAGAGAGTTCCTCTGCCCAAGGTTCCTCCTTTGTGCCCATGGACGAGCTGAATAAACACACACACACAGCAACACATACTGTAGCATTGACCCATTTTCATCTCCACACTCTCATTTTTCCTGCAGCCTTTGTCAGGTTATCAGAATGAATCTGAGAGGTTATACTATACTGTACTGTAGTTCTCTTCAGAGGGATGCTTTAAACTGCTAATTGATTTAGGTCCCCTGTGACTCATGCTCCATGCAGATGGATAACAGTGTTTCTGGTCACACATATATTAGTCTGCCTGCACAAATGGATCAGTTGAAACACCCTGATAATACAGCAAGAGTAGTAAATAGTGATCCCACTTCTACTAATGCCACTGTCTTTTTTCTTTCCTCTTTTTCTCTATCCATGTAAATTCTTACATTCAACGTAGTGAGTATTGCTCTCTCTGCTACGTGGTCAACCATGGGAATAAAATCAAGCTGATGGATGGAGAGAAAATGTCTTAAAGTGTACAATACAGGAGGCCTAAAACATGTTTTGATTTATTGTACTTATTATTTTAGCCATTGCATCAGTGCGTCAGATAACAGATACTGAATGACCCCACCCATGTCTGTCCATAAAGTGGCTGTGATTGCCCCACTGACATCCTTTCCTTTCTTTACTGAGCAGCACTTTAAAAGGGAACACCGCCATAGTTCAAAATGTACACATGTTAACGTCAGGGTCTAGATAGTCCAGGGAGAATTAGTGATAGTGAGAGTTGCTGTGTGACAGGAGAAAGTTTGAGAACCAAGTCGTCACCCCCACAGTGCAGACATAAATTCATGCATGATCAAAGTATGTCAACTATACAAAAACACATATATAAGCATATAATTAAGTGACTGGAAAATGCTTAATCATCAGTTAAGCAGCTTCATCTGCTCCCTTGACAGGTTAGAGCAGACAAAGCTGCAACCGCATTCAAAGTCAAACATTCAACAAGTAAATATTTTCTGATCCTCCGACAGAAATCTGCAAGGCTGCTCTTCTTTTCCAGCTCACAGATTAGATTTACTGTTGCAGATGTTGCAGGGAACTCTCATCTGGTTTATTCCCAGTAGACTGAGCCACCACACACAGAAATAGGGAATTCTGATGTGTAAACCAGTGGCATTCCCCTTTAGCTTGAGGCTTAAATTACTTGTACTTATGTATTTATTTATTTTTTTTTAATTATTCTTACAACTTTTTGCACTGGTCTGTTTTTACTTTTATTTTCTCCAAGTTAAATGACTGAGCTTAGAGTTGTCCATTCCTTTAGACTTCCTCGCGATGAGGGTAATCCATTTTCATATTAATGTACTCCAGGGACAAAACATGTTGATAATATGTAAAGCATAGTGTAATATGCAATTAATTTATACATTGTTGCTTCTTTTTCTTGTTATTCAGATTTCGTGGATAAGTAAATACGATGTCACAGTTCTGTTGTTTCTTACTTGTGTGTGTGTGTGTGTGTGTGTGTGTGTGAGTGAGTGAGTGTTATGACACCGTGGGACCACTGTTTCCTGATAATTTGTTTCTTTATAAATTAAATACAATAGCCAGCCAGATACTTCTTGTGAGTCAAAATGCAGTGGAAATAAAAGGATGTCATGAGTAACCATGATCTCAGGGAGCGCCACTCAACCTGCAAGCCACTGGAGTCAGATCAGGAGAAAACTCTGACAACTGATGGAATGTATTTGATATAGAGGGATACTGAATTTAACTGGAACTTATAAAAGAAAGTGAGAAATTGTCCTGTCACTGAACATACACATTAAGTGATGCAGTAATTACACACAAAAACTGCCTGAGGTGCTCCCTCCTGTCAGTTAAGACTGGCATAATATTCCACTTCCTCCACATAAATAAAGATTGGTGCACAGATGTCACGGTGCTACAGAGGACATGTATCACGGACTTAGAGACTCTTTGCATCAACTGCAAACCTTTTTATTCTCCCTGTAAATTTTCTTTTTTATTCTGATCGGAGTGTACATAACACTGCAAGCCCACGCCAGTGCACTACAGCTCGTGGCCAAACAGATAAATAGCGTGGAACTGAAACATCCCGACTCTCCACTCATTGTTCTAGGGGACTTTAACAGAGCAAATCTCCCCCATGAACTGCCCAAATACACACAGCATGTTACCTGTCCCACCGGGGACAAAAATCACACTGGACCACTGCTACACAACAATAAAAGACGCCTATCACTCTGTCCCCCGCGCAGCCCTTGGACTCTCTGATCACTGTATGGTCCATCTTATTCAAACCTACAGGCAGAAACTTAAAGCTGCAAAGCCTGTGGTTGACCATATGCACCCTGTAAAAACTCATGAGCATGACTAAGCATTTAACAGCCTACCTAGACATCCTATCTCCACTAAACATTTCTAATACATACAAGTACCTAACCAATGTCTATCTGACTAAAAATACCTAACACCCCAGTGCATCCCTTGGGTCTCTGATCACTGCATGGTCTATCTTATTCCAACCTACAGGCAGAAACTTAAAGCTGCGAAGCCTGAAGTCAAATAAGTGAAGAGCTGGACTGAGGAGACTAAGTCAGAGCTATAGCACTGCTTGGACTGCACAGACTGGAGTGTATTTGAGACTGCAGCTACAGACCTGGATGAACTCACTGACACTATGACATATCAGTTTCTGTGAGGATGTGTGTGTGCCCAAAAAGACCTTCTGCACATACAGCAACAAGCCCTAGTTCACATCAGCAAGACTGAAGCAGCTTCGTCGTGCCAAAGAGGAGGCTTACAGAAGTGGGAGGAGCTACTCTGAAAAGCTGAAAGCTCAGGTTTCAGCCAACGACTCCTCGTCTGTGTGGGGGAGCCTAAAAATCATCACTGGCTATAGAAAACCATCCCCCCTTGCTGTGGAGGACCGTCAACTAGCAGACGACCTGAATGTGTTCTACTGCAGGTTTGACAATCAACACTCCCCCCTCACCCTCCCCACCTCAGATCCAGCAGCTGCTCCCTCAACAATCACCACCCTTCCCTCCAGCCCCCCACCTCTAACGAGCTGTGAAAAGGATGTTCGCGGCCTCTTTAAAAAACAAAGGATCAGAAAAATACCAGGCCCAGATGGCATGTCCCCCTCCTGCTTGTAAGTGGGTGCTGATCAGCTGGCCCTCATCTTCACACTCATCAACCACATGGCCACATCAACCTGACCGGTGTTTGATTGTCTGTTGTGTCCTGTTGCTTTTCTTCTTTTCTCTCTCCTCTATTCACTCACCCCAACTGGTCGAGGCAGAAGGTCGCCCACCAAGAGCCGGGGTCTGTCGGAGGTTTCTTCTGTTAAAGGGAGTTTTTCCTCCCCACTGTCGCCAAGTGCTTGCTCAATGGGGGATTTGTTGGGTTTTCCCTAGGTAATAATATTGATAACAGTAAGGTCTAGACCTTACTTTGTAAAGTGTCCTGAGATGACTTTTGTTGTGATTTGGCGCTATACAAATACAATTTGATTTGATTTGATTTTGATCGCAAGATCTCATGCCACAAGATCTTGTCACACCCGTAATCATTACTCTATTATATCTTTATTGAGAACATTGCTTACGGTTTTCTTTATTCTCATAGTATTCAGTATTATCTTTTTCTTTCTTTCTCTTTTCTTTTTCTTTTTTTTTTTTAGTGATTGGCCCCAGGCTGTCACTCTGATGAACACTTGACCCACAACAGTATGACTGGACAATAACCCTTAGTGCAATACCTGTAATATATACCTTGTACATATCAATTCGTCGAATCTAGACTGTGTGTATATAATACTTTATTTTTACTCCTAAGGCACATTCCTTTGCTTGATTGCACATCACTTGTTTATTTCTGTTCTCAGCCTTATATTGGTTACTTGACCATTGCTGCCTTACATATGCATTGAGAGCTAATGTACCAGAGTCAAATTCCTCATGTGTCCAACACACCTGGCCAATAAAGGTGATTCTGATTGATTTGTCAGTTTTATGGATTTACTTTTTTCTCTTTTTGTGTTATTTCAATTTATTATTGTTATTTCATTATTACACTTACTACTATCTCTGTAATCATAACCATCTTTTTTTCCTTCCCCATCAATAAACCAGGCCAGTATGGTGATGCTGTGATTAGTGCTATCTCCTCACAGCAAGAAGGTTCAGGGTTTGAGCCCCGGCCAACCTGACGCCTTTCTGTGTGGTGTTAGTATATTGTATTCTCCCTGTGCCTGTGTGGGTTCTTTCTGGAAACCCCAGCTTCCTCTCACAGTCTAAAGACATGCAGCTTAGGTTGACAGGTGACTCTAAATTGACTCTAGGAGTGAATGTGAGTGTGTGTGGTTGTCTGTCTCTAAGTGTCAGCCCTGTGATTAGAATGGCGACCTGCCTAGGGTGGACCCTGCCTCTCACCCAATATCAGCTGGAATTGGTTCTTGGTTCACCCCCAATGAGCTTAATTCGTTTCACGAAGTCTAAGCCCGGTTAAGGAGACAGGTTTAGGTGAACCCAGAGGTCCTGCCTTGAAGTCATTTCCTTGCTCTCACTATGTTGTTTTTGTTACTTATACCTGTAAGCAGTGCAGTTTGACACACTAAGCTGCAGCTTAGTTCTAGTCCAGTGCACTTCCGCTTGTCATCTGTCTTAACCAGACTGCCACTTGGTATTTCTCTACTTATCAGCTGTCCTATTCACTATACTGTGCTAGCTATGACAGTAATAAATACCAAACATTGGAGGACATTTCTGTAAATTTGGTCAGATTATAGTAGTGGCACTACTGTATATGTGACAATAAAATCGGATCTTACCTTTGCTCTGCTGACCAGTGCCATTGCACTTGGATGATAGAAGGAGCCTCGGAGCATCAGTGTGGACCAGTCTGGCCTGGTGTCGGCCCCTGCTCCTCCTGATGCAGTCAAAGGTACAGGTAATGTCCCACATCGTAAGTTGGTTACTGGCTGAGGCACACTGGCAGACTGTTGGGTGGTAGGACTGCAGGATAGCTGCTCCTTAGCATTTTCATTCGCTCAAAAAAGGGATAACACATTGGGTTTTTTTATAAGCAAAACAACAAGGTCAAATTCATCACTACATGATACAGCTAGACACAGATACCAACAGATACCAACTTGAATATTACTGCTTACTTTTTTACAGCTGAAAATAGATTTGAAAATATTCCATACTTGAAATTCTTACCTACTGCATTATCTTCTTTCCAAACATGCTGTTCAGGTTCTTTCCATTGCCATGCTCCACATGCCCCACGTTTTTTTTTAACAAGGAAAGACCTTGGCATCCTTTGAATTTTCTCAGTCTGTTCCTCCTCTACTGATCTACTTCACTTGCCTTTTATCTGACTTTCAGTCTCTTATCCTTGCCACTAAGCATTTAATTTTTGAACTTTTATGGACCAACCTCAATATCACCTCACCTTAAGCCCTTATGTCTATCCCTCATCCCTTGACAATCTGCAGGTACAATATCCCAGAAAATCACAGTGCTCATTTCCATAACACTCTGAGGAGACACGCCTGTGTTGCCTGTGCGCGTGCGTCACTTTAACTGGTCCACCACTGGTTTTGCATGTCAGGTAGTAAGAATCCGGGGAGCTTCATATTCAAGTGGCCCTTGGCATGCAAATTTTGGCCCCAGACCAAGCCCTGGCCCCAGACAAAGGGCATGGTCTAAGTAACAGAAGCAAGCACAGAGGAGCCACAGCCTTAACTGCTAGGTAAATCAGCCCTTTCTCTTTCTTTTTTCCCCTTTTTTGTTACAATTGTTTAGAGGGATTACAGGGCTTCTAAAAATACATACAAAGGCCATTCACACACACTGAAAAGATGTCAAGCGCTTGCTGTCCGTTGACTGTGTTGTTTACATAATTGCACATACCTGAAGGCAGTTTCTGTCCTGTTGTTCCATGCCATTCACTCAGTGCATGCTGGGATAAGTAGCAGCTCCTGCAACTCTGAACAGAGGTAGGTGATACAAAGAATGGATGAAAAGATGGATTCCAATGGCCAAAGCTGTCAAATCTCCAGCATGTTTACCAATGTATTACTTATTAATCTATCATTTTTATGTTGAGCTTTTCTGCTAATGAACAGTAACACTAAATGGTCTTATATTTGCGCTTTACAGCACACTCAAAGTGCTTTTACACTACTTGGCCATTCACCCATTCGCACTCCCAAGCACTCACACATTCACACACCAGTGTCATCACCGGGAGCAACTGGGGGTTCAGTGTCTTGCCCAAGGACACTTCAACGTGTGGACTGGACAAGCCAGGAATCAAACTGCTGATATTCTAGTTAGGAGACGACCTGCTCTACCTCCTGAGCCACAGCTACCACCCACTTTGCACAAGCTTGTTTAATTGTCTGTGTAGTCAGTGTGTTTAAATTCCGGGTAAAACAAAATCAGTGATTTGTGTCTAAACATATTATCAGTGTCAGAAAATAGTTGCTGAAAATGTTAAGACTGAGAACAATGTAGTGCTGAATTTTGGAGATGGACTGTTTTGTTTTGGAGTTCCGGATTTTTTGGGCGGGGCATGCATGGTTCGCACTGTAGCCATCCTTAACATAACCCTTTCCCTGCAAAGAAACGTTATAAATCCTAGAGTGCACAGAGCAGGGCCACTATTAAGACTGAACACAGATGAAAATTTACAGCCACAGTTATGTTTTTTAACTGCCTCAGTATTAAGCAGTGACAAAAATAGCAACACATGAATGATGAATGTGTTGTAGTGGGTCTGAAACAACCATAGTGGGTGGAGGGAGAGATGCAAAGCACATAACAACCACACAGCAGACCCTGCAGCTGCTGCACTATACAGAGCACCACAGTTAGCTATTAGCTGTTAGCCTAACAAAGTCGCAGACTGGACAAAGCTTAAATTTTAATTTTTCTGCAAGTTTATGCATTCATTCATCTTCTACCGCTTAATCCCTGAACGGGGTCATGGGGGGGGCCGGAGCCAATCCCAG